TCAATTAATATTCATAGTACATAATACTGTCCTTCAGTGTAGTATAAAATGAAACGCTAAAATTCACCATTTATATTCAGGTAGCAATCAGATCAGATTGGTAGAATTTCGGCATCAATACAGGTGGGCGTATGAGGGTTACAACTATCTCAGTATTACGCATTTTTCTCCATCGAACCTTAACCAAACGAGAAGAAGAATCTGATATTCGTGATCAGCGTCACATGATGAATCAAAAATATGTATGAAAAGACTAAAAGTTTTTCTCTACTAAAATTTTGAATTAGCAGCATCTTATATTTATTCTCTCTCGTCGACAAACGTAACCATTACCGTTCGAATACTCTTTTTCTATTTATTCTCTCTCGTCGACAAACGCAACCATTACCATTCGAATACTTTTTTTCTTTCTGTTCTTCAACTTGTTGTTAAGCAACCGTCCGAGAGCGAAAATGTTAGTTTCAAAATAAAAGAATCAAAGTATTCATAAGACACGTTTCGCGTCTTGCAAGAAAATCATCATCGAATATGTTTAAAACCTATTAACTGCATAGAAAGAATGAATTCGCCAAAACTTTCGTCTGAAATTAGGAAATACAATAGGTAACGAATCAAACTTCATAGCAAAGGCTAATCGATGAAAATTATCGAAGTTCGAATGATAAAGTCCGCATACAATCGTTTACCATTGCTTTTAGATTACAAACGCAGCCATACGCATATTCATAAGAATAAATACAGTGAGTATTTTTATCTCTTGCGGCGAAAATACGATCTTGTATGCGATATTGCGATATGGCGTCAATTCAGACGAGTAAATACGGCCGTTTTCGATCGTAAAATATTCGTTGCAGGCTGTGTCACAGATCATCTATGGTCCGTATTGAACATTCATACTAAATGGTAAGAGGTATAAAGTGTTCAACTTTCCTTCTCTTATATAGAATAGCGGAATTCCATCGACTTCTAGGACTACTTTTCAAGAATAATATTTTGTAGAAGACAACTAATAGAAGATGGTTAGGCTTTCATTTTTGTACGAGTTCGATACATGAAGATTCTTTGACAATAGAATGTAGGTGCCGTTAGGCGGAACACATTATTGTATCAGAGAAACGTACAATTTTCGAGTCAATAGACATGCATCTCCGTTTTGCGTTTGCAAAAACCCAAATCGAGCTGTTGTTCCACACAATGCGAAGAAGCTACCCCAAAATTGAAAGAGATTAAGCACTTTTGAAATTGCCGCAATTTTCATATGGTGTTAAGAATAACAGATCCAGTATTTCATGCTCGAAGGCTAAGAATTGCAAAATAATTTTCTGTTAAATTAATCAAAATGTCATAATTAGATTAATCTTAATGAATCTAAGTTCTTAAGGGAGAGTCCGCGAGACCACGATCGTTCGACTCATACGAAAACTTTTAAACTTCATTCATTTTATTGCCATTCGATAGGTGGTGGTCTGAAAAGTGTATGGCAAAATTATGAGACCTTTCCGCCGAATCTCTCAAAAACTACGAGGTAAACACTGACCATGACTGTAGCAGTATACCGGATTTTTGCGCGAAAATTAGGTGTTCTCAGTATTTTTAAGTTTTCTTTGTGATACTATGTCCTTTTAAGGCACGGTTAGTGTCAAACGATAGAGAACTGAATTCCCTACAAAACTATATATAAGACATTCTTCTTCTATCGAGCTCTGGCCTTCGAAAAATCTTGGGACAAGGAATGCGACTTGCCTAGCAGTTGATTTTCTCCGAGTATTTCAAGAAAATTTGTGCCAAAATTGCTCGGCCCTCAGAAATTTACTCTTATTTCTGGGGGTCCATGAAAAACTGCATCGATTCATTAAAATATCGGTAAAAAGTTTGAGGAAAAAAGAGAGGTGATCGAAAACCTTCAGAAATTCTTCATTACAGAAATGCTATAAAATGAAAGTACTCTAAGAGTTCATAATTACCTTGATATCCGATTAATGAGATTTCGCTCCTTTAATGGATAAAAAGTTTAGACAATATTTAGTATGCGTCTGTGCCTAGGTCAAAGGTTACCGAACAGAATTTATCATGCTTAAGAGATTTCTATAAGCTTCCAGGCGTTCCCGAAAGTTTTAGAGACTAGCTCAGCGCTATGGAAGATTTCACAGCGCTTTCGAAGCCTATCGAAATCTCTTAATCATAATAAACTCTGTTCAGTGACCTTTGATTTAGGTACAGGTGCACACTGAACATTGTCTACATTTTTTATCCACAAAAGGGACGATATTTCATCAATGGGATATCAAAGTAATTATACACTCTTAGGGTACTTTTATAGAATTTCTACAGCGGAAAAATTTGGGCGATTTTCGATCGCCTCCTTTTCTTCCTCAAACTTTTTACCAATATTTTAATGAATCGATGCAGTTTTTCATGGACCACCAGGAATAAGAGTAAATTTCAGAGGATCGAGCAATTTTGGCACAAATTTTCTTGAAATACTCGGAAAAACTAACTGCTGGACAGATCGCATTCCTTGTCTCAAGTTTTTTCGACGACCAGAATTCGATCGTAGGGGAATATTTTATATAGAGTTTTGTAGGCAATTAAGTTTTTTATCGTTTGACATCAAAAGAGCGCAGCGGCTCCGAATCTTTAAAATCAGAAAAAAATGGTTCCGGTTTCGGTTCTGGGAATTATCATTGGAACCGTTAAATTAATAGCAGAAATGGTCTACTCATCAGTTCATACCAATTTTATTGTACATCTTTCTAGATCTCACTGTTCGAGACTTTTGGTGATCATTTTCTTATTGAAGAGGCAAATTTCATCGTTGTTTCTATCTGGCTGTGGAAAAAAACGATGTTTCGTAGATCTAATGTAAAGGGGCACGATGTAGATGAGTTTAAATTCCATCAGGAAAAATTTAGTTTCCACACAGGTCCTACTCCACTCCTATCTTTTTCATTTCACGGTTACGATTCGGATGTCGATTCCATTTTTTCTGGAAGCGCTAGACTCTAGATACTAACCACGTCTCAAAAGAATGTAATATCACAAAAAAAACTTGAAAATACTGATAACACCAAGTTTTTTACGAAAAAATCAGTATACTTCTACAGTCATGATCAGTGTTTTCCTTGTAGTTGTTGAGACACTCAAGGGAAAGGTCTCATATTTTTGCCATAATCCTTTCAGACCAACCTATCAAATGGTAATAAAATGAACCAAATCTAAAAAGGTTCTCGCCGGATTTTATGAACCATGACCAATCAGAACATTGAACATCCATTTTTGTGGAGCAGCTCGCGGCGTATCGAATGGTGTATAAGAAGATAGATTTTGCTCGAAGTTTAGAGTTTAGAGACTCCAAATACTAGGAGATCTATCACACACTACCCATACCCATCATAGTCTCTGGTATGTCCTGAAATGATTCTATGACTTTTTTTATTCATATCAATGTAGATACAGTTTGAGTCAATGATGAG